ATTTTTAAAAGGGAAGTCTGCCCTATCTGCACTTTAATAACTATAAATGTGCCCTCCTTACCCCTTTTGTAAAAATAAGCCACCATCTCTTAAAAACACTGCCTTTTTATTATATTTTTTTCAGAGAAAAGTTTGTTTTCGTAACACCCTGTTTCAATGAAAAGTCTACTTCTGATTTACATAATTATTGATAATTATTTAACTCTAATTTCATTTCTTAATGTTAGAAAGATTTTTCTTACATTGTCTGGTTATACAGCTAAATTTCACATGACATTTGACCTCAATGATATTCTCAACTGTTATTTGAGAGGCGAAGTATATTGATGAATTTTCAAATGATTTTAAATTTTACCATTATTTTTTAAATCAATAGGTACCTTTTATTTTAAAATGGACTTCTAAATGTTTATTATCTCATAATTTATTGCTTAAAATACAAAAATAGCTTTCGAATTGTTTATCGATTAATCTTTTTCTATTTTATTCACTTTTTTTTTAAAAGAAAACTTATATATAGATTGGGTTTTAGCTTGCCTTTTCAAAAGCTTCAAATTTTTCTGTTATTTTAATAATGAGTGAAAATTACTTTAGGAAATATACACATACAATAGCATAAGGGTAATTAAAAAATTGAGGATCAAATTCAGTTAATATATAATATAGCAAATTTTGATAAATTTTAATGGTAATACACTCTCTCTTCTGCAAGTACCCTACTCTTTTTTATTTCTTTGGAGAACTCTGCTTTACCATACATGCATAGTAGAATAAAAATATAATATATAGATACAGGTTTCCACAAAATGATCACGTTTGTTAAGGGATTCTGTATTGTAATCTGTGATGACAAACACAATCGCAAAGGTGCCAAATCAACTTAAAATGTTTACACTTTTTTACAAAAATCATGTAGAGGTTTACCTATGCGTAACAACTAGTTATGTCATTTTAGTTGGTATTCTTTAGGGAATTTTTTTTTATTTTTAGTTTATCGTTGCTCCCTGCCTCAAAGTTGTTAAGCAGTGACAACTATTTTTGAGCAGATAATTACATGGGAACATTTCCTTTACTAAGATAAATTTTACTAATGTACAAGCACATTATAAAGTACAGAGGCAAGAAAAATAATATTCAATCAGATCACATCCATGTATGAATTTTATACATACACCTTTATTTCATCGGCGATTTTCTTTTGGACAGATATTTCTTTCACTAGAGATTTCAATCACATTGTCGGATCAAATTGACATATTTACTTAATTTCATATTAACACAAATTAAACTTAGTCAGGCTTTTAAATAATTCAGATAAAACATTTCATTCACAAGGCACATTCAACAAAACTATAACAAACTAACACATATGCAAACTATAACATATATGCAAAACTATAACAACAAAACTAACTTAATTATAAGACACATTCATACATGTTAACTCCAACAGGTTATTTACAATTCATTTAAAATGATTCATTCACAAGGCACATTCAACAGAACAGGCATAAGAGACATTTAAATAAAATTTCACCTCATCTAGGCAATTACAATTCATTCACAAGGCACATTCAACAGAACAGGCATAAGCAATATTTTTAAAATTTAATCTCATCTAGGGAATTACAATTCATTCAAAACTATTCATTCACAAGGCACATTTAACAGAACATGTATAAGCGATATTTTTAAAATTGAACTTCATCTAGGCAATTACAATTCATTCAAAATTATTGATTCACAAGGCACATTCAACTGAACAGGCATAAGAGACATTTATAAAATTTAACCTCATCTAGGCAATTACAATTCATTCACAAGGCACAATCAACAGAACAGGCATGAGCGATATTTTTAAAATTTAACCTCATCTATGCAATTACAATTCATTCAAAATTATTGATTCACAAGGCACATTCAATAGAACAGGCATAAGAGACATTTATAAAATTTGACCTCACTTAGGCAATTACAATTCATTCAAAACTATTCATTTATTCATTCTTCAAACTTCATTCACAAGGCACAGCCAGCAGGATAATAATAAGATACATTTACACAAGTTAACTCCAACAGGTCAATTACAATTCATTCACAAGGCACATTCAACAGAACAGGCATAAGAGACATTTATAAAATTTAACCTCACTTGGGCAATTACAATTCATTCAAAACTATTCATTCACTAGGCACAATCAATAGAACAATTAGAAGACAAATTCATACAAATTAACACTAATAGGTTATTTACAATTTAAAACTATTCATTCACAAGGCACATTCAACAGAACAATTAGAAGAAAAATTCATGCAAGTTAACTCTAACAGGTTCTTTAAAATTCATTTACAAGGCATATTCAATAGAACAAGCATGAGAGACATTTTTAAAAGTTAACCTCAGCTGGGCAACAAGGAGAAAGTGGGATAAGACTGTAGGAAGAATAGTTAAACTGTGGAGTAAGAATGGATTTTAACTGCGACAAAATGAAACGGGGCAAGAAACTAACAGATTAAAAAAACATATAGTTTAGTTATATATATATATATTTATAGTATAGTTAATCTATATTATTATTACAAAATTGTCACGTAGATTTTTTTTCTCGAAACAAAACTATTGAGCTGAAGTGATGATAATGACTAACAATCAGTTTTGGTGAAGCTTTTTGCTGTTTGCAGCTTATAGCTCGCTTATATTGATCTGAAGTTTACTCTTATTTAGAACACTTGTGCGGAAAAAAGTTTTTAAGCTTGTAGCTTACTTGTCTGCAAGGGCTATTTTAGTTGTTTGAAATTCAAATACTATTATAGAGAGTTAGATGAAAACATGGAAAAGAGCGCTTAGTAACTAATTTGAAAAACGGAAGAAATGAGAGTAAACAAATACTTGTGTACAAAAAGCTAATTTTACCTTATAGCATTGAAAAGATATATATCTTTTTTCTAATATGCAGTAGCAAATTTTCTAAAATAATATTCTTCATTCGAGTTGAACTGTAAGAAATTGTATTGACAGTTACAGTAGTAACTCTAATTAATGTATAAAAATATAATTTTTATTTAGTATATAAAGTTATTAGATCATTAATTAATAAAGTATATAATTAAATAAGTTATAAATTAAATTAGTATATAAAGTTGTTTGTTTCGTGGAGATTTCCGTATC